AGGTGGCCGCAGACAGCACACAGGGTAAACCAGCAGGTGGCAGCAGACAGCACACAGGGTAAACCAGCAGGTGGCAGCAGACAGCACACAGGTTAAACCAGCAGGTGGCAGCAGACAGCACACAGGGTAAACCAGCAGGTGGCAGCAGACAGCACACAGGTTAAACCAGCAGGTGGCCGCAGACAGCACACAGGGTAAACCAGCAGGTGGCCGCAGACAGCGCACAGGGTAAACCAGCAGGTGGCCGCAGACAGCGCACAGGGTAAACCAGCAGGTGGCCGCAGACAGCACACAGGGTAAACCAGCAGGTGGCAGCAGACAGCACACAGGTTAAACCAGCAGGTGGCCGCAGACAGCGCACAGGGTAAACCAGCAGGTGGCCGCAGACAGCGCACAGGGTAAACCAGCAGGTGGCCGGAGACAGCACACAGGTTAAACCAGCAGGTGGCCGCAGACAGCGCACAGGGTAAACCAGCAGGTGGCAGCAGACAGCACACAGGGTAAACCAGCAGGTGGCAGCAGACAGCGCACAGGGTAAACCAGCAGGTGGCCGCAGACAGCGCACAGGGTAAACCAGCAGGTGGCCGCAGACAGCGCACAGGGTAAACCAGCAGGTGGCAGCAGACAGCGCACAGGGTAAACCAGCAGGTGGCAGCAGACAGCGCACAGGGTAAACCAGCAGGTGGCCGCAGACAGCGCACAGGGTAAACCAGCAGGTGGCAGCAGACAGCACACAGGGTAAACCAGCAGGTGGCCGCAGACAGCGCACAGGGTAAACCAGCAGGTGGCAGCAGACAGCGCACAGGGTAAACCAGCAGGTGGCCGCAGACAGCGCACAGGGTAAACCAGCAGGTGGCAGCAGACAGCGCACAGGGTAAACCAGCAGGTGGCAGCAGACAGCGCACAGGGTAAACCAGCAGGTGGCCGCAGACAGCGCACAGGGTAAACCAGCAGGTGGCCGCAGACAGCGCACAGGGTAAACCAGCAGGTGGCCGGAGACAGCGCACAGGTTAAACCAGCAGGTGGCCGCAGACAGCACATAGGGTAAACCAGCAGGTGGCAGCAGACAGCGCACAGGGTAAACCAGCAGGTGGCAGCAGACAGCGCACAGGGTAAACCAGCAGGTGGCAGCAGACAGCACAGAGGGTAAACCAGCAGGTGGCAGCAGACAGCACACAGGTTAAACCAGCAGGTGGCAGCAGACAGCACACAGGGTAAACCAGCAGGTGGCAGCAGACAGCACACAGGGTAAACCAGCAGGTGGCAGCAGACAGCACACAGGGTAAACCAGCAGGTGGCCGCAGACAGCGCACAGGGTAAACCAGCAGGTGGCCGCAGACAGCGCACAGGGTAAACCAGCAGGTGGCAGCAGACAGCGCACAGGGTAAACCAGCAGGTGGCAGCAGACAGCACACAGGGTAAACCAGCAGGTGGCCGCAGACAGCGCACAGGGTAAACCAGCAGGTGGCAGCAGACAGCCCCGTCGGACCCCTTGCTTGACCCTGAACCAGCCCGCTGTCCCGCCCAGGGTTCTAGCGGTTGCTTCGTGGCCTGCACACAGCTTTCTCAGGAGACAGGGAAGATGGTCTGTGTTCCCATCTCTCTAAGAACTTTCCAGTTTGTCATGATCCACACAGCCAAATGCGACAGTTACAACCTTCTAAATCAGAAGAGCAAATGGGAAATATTTGCATAAGGAAGTCCTTGAAACTATTTATTAGAGACTAAGAGTAGATTCTGAGGTGTTGTTTTGTTTTGAAATACGGTTTATGGTTAGAATAAAAAAAAAGAACTTGAGTGGCTAGGAATTTTGTATTTATTTTACAAATTTTACAAAGTAAAGACCCTGATGCTGGGAAGGATTGAGGGCAGGAGGAGAAGGGGATGACAGAGGATGAGATGGTTGGATGGTATCACTGACTCGATGGACATGGGTTTGGGTGGATTCCGGGAGTTGGTGATGGACAGGGAGGCCTGGCGTGCTGCAGTTCATAGGGTTGCAAAGAGTCGGACGTGACTGAGCGACTGAACTGAACATAAAATAAGTAACTTTAACATAACATAAACTCACCAAGTGCCAGTATAGTACCTAGAGCAAGATGAACAGCAGGAGTTCTGCAAATATTTTCTGATTTAAGCATCAAGATGTAATTCAACTAGCACTGCACAATGGCAAAACATACTTTATTTTAATAATAATGCTTTATAACATTATATAACATACAGTTTTCTATCTTGTTATAGTTTTGCTCAGATTAAATTCAGTTGCACCTTCTATAAAAGGATTAATATTTTAAATATTAACCATGTGAATCATGATTATACTTATTGGCCTATTTTGATTATTAAATTATATTTGATTGAGAGAAAAAAGGATTCTATCGCCCTCTTGTGGTAATTTTGCTGTAGTGTATCCTCCAGGAGTTTGATATCAATTGGAAGTTTTCTTTTACAGGCTGAGTAGTATTTTGCTCATAGCTTCTGAATTTCCAAAAGCGGTACACACAACTTCCTGCCCTTCACAGTACATATACTCCATACCCTCCTTTCAGTTCTACTTCTGAAATTTAATCTTTTCCTTGCTCTTTTAAGAAACATTCTCCTGTTTGCTTTCAATTACTATACCCCCCCAAATTTTTTGTGAAAGTTACTTTTTGTATTTTAATCATATATAAATAATTACAGCAATTCTTCATTGTTATAGATAAGCTCTAAATAAGTGGAAATAATTAAAAATGTGTAGGGCTGAAGTGTCAGCATTTTTTCCAAGAAAACAGGTCTTGCTAATGATATTATTCTAAATTTTTTAAGTTTTCAAAAGTAATAAAATAGCCTTTTGTTTAAAATAGTCTCCATCAGGAGACTGACCTCTAGGCAGTCAAGTTATTAGGACCTGCACTTGCACTGCAGGGGGCACAGATCCGATCCCTGGTTGGGGAACTAAGACCCCGCCTGCTGGGCAGCTCAGCCAAATTAAAAAAAAATTTTTTTTAATTAAGGTAATAATAATAAACAAGCAAACAAAACAGTCTAGGTTATGTGTAATGGCCTTTCCTCTTCCTTCCACACAATACTTTTAGCTTTAAAAATTAGTAATGGTAATTCAAAAATATGCAAATGACACTATGAAATAAATTTTAACTACATAAATAATTAGTAATTTCTTAAAGAAAATTTACTTACAATAAATGAAGTTAGCATTAATATATTTAAATGCAAAAATAAAATACAAAACAAAGATGGATTCCTAATTAAAAATTCATTCTTTCCACTCTTATCAACTAAAAAGTAATAAATGACCTATTTTTATATAAAAAGTTATAAAGTTATCATATTTTTTAAAGCAGCCCCTTGTGTATTCAATTAATACCCATCCCAAAACTGATGAGGGAAGACTAGAAATATACAAGGGATAAGTTTAAAAAGTGTCTTCTTTGCAGAGGAGCCTGAAATTTCAAAAGCAAATTAACATGGCAAGCCTCAGTAACTGAAGTTTTAGTAAAACCAGAGCAGTTACAAAGTGTGAGCAGCAGGAGATGAGACTGAAGTTAATAGAGGTCAGAGGGAAAAGGTCTTAATGATTAGTGAAGGAAGGGGGAAACAGTCCAGCATTTGCAGCAGGAGAGTAACATGGGCCAATCAATTTTGGAAATATCACTTGCAGTAAGGAGGACAGACTTACAGTGTGAGAAGGCGATGGGGAAATTAGTTAGTTGTCTGCAAAGATCAGGGCCTGAACCAAGGCAGTTGCTGTGACCGCAGAGAGGAGAAAAGAAATAAGTAAGAGGTAGAATCATTAGGTGTTAGTTACTGTGAGAGCATGGGAATGGAGTCTCAAGCTTCTACTCTAGCTCTGGTGCCTGGTTATCATCCCCAAAGAGAGGTAGGGTATTCTCAGACACACAGCGTTGGAGGTGCCACCTCCAACAAGGTGACCTCCTTGCTGGAGGTCAACAAGGTTGAGGGTATGAAGTTCAAGAGAAGTGAAGTGAAAGTCGCTCTGTCAAGTCCGACTCTTTGCGACCCAAGGACTATACAGTCCACGTAATTCTCTAGGCCAGAATGCTGGAGTGGGTAGCTTTTCCCTTCTCCAGGGGATCTTTCCAACCCAGGGATCGATCCCAGGTCTCCCGCATTGCAGGTGGACTCTTTACCAACTAAGCCTCAAGGGAAACTCAAGAATAGTGGAGTGGGTAGCCTGTCCCTTGTCGAGTGGATCTTCCCGACCCAGGAATCCAACCAGCGTCTCTGGCACTGCAGGCAGATTCTTTACCAACTGTTGGAAGTAAATTATCAGTGGCTGGGTAGTAAAGGGAATCTTGATGACATATCATCTAGGAGAGTGTAAAGAGTGCGAGAGATGAAGACTGAGGGTGGGATCAGCAATATTTAAGTGTAGTCCCATCTTAAAGCAGTACTTACATCCTATAACCATAACCTTCATTCATGTTGGGAGAAGTATTTAGTCTTCTCCCATTTTGCAGATCAGAAAACTGAGGGTCAAGGTTAAGTGACTTTATTTAAAGCTATTTATCTATAGAAGTGAATGTAAAGTCAGGTTTCCAGATGGAGCCCAAGGACAGGAAGACTCTTTCTTCAATAACTGATGGCAGCAAATGCATCTGTCACTGTTATTCTGTGTAAATGATCAAAACTAGGATGTATGTCCACGGCTAACCTTCAAACAACATAGTTTGTTAATAAGACCCCAAATTTACAACTCAACCCATGCTTCCTGGGTAATCTGGAAAACTAGGAAACGCTCTCAATTCTAATTATAAATAGCAAGTGGCAACTGTGTCTCTCTCACACACACACACATAATATTAATCAGACACTTCAGAGGAAAAAATAGCTGCAACTACTCTTCCCAGTCTTTTGTAAATCTTAGATGATTGAGAAGGGTTTCAGCAGTCAATTCTAGATGAAATATATCCCAGAACACATTTTCAGAGTTACAGTTAAATGCAAAAAAGCAAGAGATTTCTTTGGCGAAGTACCTGCTTGGCTGGGCCGTTGCCAGCTTGGTGACTTGATCCCACTGGACCCCAGAGGCTTGAAGGCAGCAGCAGTGGTGAGCCCGGCCACCCCTGGTCTGGTCAAGCCTGGGCTTCCCGGCCTCTCGGGGGAGCTCCAAGCTGCAGCTGCTGATGGGGCAGACTGCTGAGAAGGCTCCTGGGCATTGCTGGAGAGAAAAGGAGGAGACATTTTTGGTAAAGTGGTAGTAATCTAACTTAGTAGTGATTTGTCCTTTTCTCAACCTATTAAATCTCTAAGGAAAACAAAAATACTGATTAATTGATATTTTAAAGAAAACTTTAATACCATTGCAGGGGACTGACTCTCTTTAAAACAGACAAAAGAAAAGGAAAGGAAAACAATCAGGTCGCATTTGTTTTTTAATCTTTGGAAATTCCCTTCAAAAGGTCTACTCCAAGAAATTGTTGTTTTTGTTGTTTGGTTGCTAAGCCATGTCTGACTCTTGCAACTCTGTGTACTGTATGTAACCTGCCAGACTCCTCTGCCCATGGGATTATCCCAGCAAGCGAACAGGAGTGGGTTACCATTTCCTTCTCCAGGGGATCTTCCTGACCCAGGGATCAAACGACCTCTTCTGCATTGGCAGGCAAATTCTCTACCACTGAGCCACCAGGGAAGCCCAAACCTGAGAAATTAGGCACTGAAAAAGTTACACAGCCAGTTCTTTTAAATAAGAAGCTAATTTCCTCTATCTGAACATTCCAGAAGGGTCACGTAGAATACAAGAATTATTGGAGAATCCCTGATAATCTGTATGAAATGGCAGATGCAGCTTTTCTTTACCACACTCTTCTGGTATCTCATGAACTAAGTTTCCGTGACATCTCACCAGTCACTCGTTTCACTCATATACTCGCTCAGTTACTCATTCATTCAGTAAATATCAAGCACCTACTATAATACATGCCAGACACTGTGTTACATAGTGGAAAACAGGAGACAATATCTGCAGCCTAACACAGCATCCAGTGTTGTGTTCATGATACAAGAAAACAAGAAACATGTCTGCCACTGTCCTCTTTCAAGCAGAGCTATTTGCTTAACAGGAGGTCTTATTTATGCTGGTTCCAGTTTGATATAGAAGATGATATGGCTTTTATCATCCCAGTCATTTGTTATTTGCACTTATATATCATCATTAAAAAATAATTCTAGGTAGTCCAAATTATAAAGTAGGCCCTTTTGGAATGATGTAATACTATAAACAGTTTCTCTCAAATGAAGTATAATAAAAGTGGTAATAATGACAACAACAATAATACATCCTACTGGCTTTTCAACAGAAGCTGAGCTAGCACTTACTACATACTCCTATGCACAGAAACTCAATTCCTTCAATACGAGAAATCAACAGCTAGACAAAATAAATACCCTGAATTATACTGTTAGGCTGAAGTTTCAACTGCAATCATGCCCACTATATTACTGCAAATGACTAAGATTACCTAATTTTCCCAATGCCTCTTGAACCCTGCATAGCCTAACACAGCAGGCTGATGCTACCTATCCTTAGGAAGGCTGCTGCAAGGCTGCCCTTTGACTAGCTTTTGGGAACTTGGCCTGGTCAACAGTTCCAAACAGTCATATAAAAGTTTCTCTAAAAGATAAAGAGAGCTCACTGCACCTAAACTATATCACCAGTGTGGTTTACGATAAACACCTGCTGCCCTCCTGCAAGCTGGAGGTTGGGTACAAATGAGGCACAGCATGCCTATGAGATGAGCCCCAATGAAACCCGTCTCAGGTACTTAGTTTCTAAATAGCTTCTCTGGCAGAGAACACTTTGCATGTCTTGTCGTAACTCCTTGCCACAGGCATCCACACATCATAGGTGACCTCACGGGGAGGTTTGGAAACTCGAGCCTCCTTTCTTCTCTACTTGGCCCCATGCACCTTTCTCTGTGCTGATTCTGCTTTGTATTCTTTCACTGTCATGACTCTCAATAATGAGCACTACTATAGACTGAGTTCTGTTAAGCCCTCCCATGAGTCATCCAAACCTGATGGTGGGCTTAGGGCACTTCTGATAACAGGTAGTTTTGAAAAATCATATTAGAGCTATTTTAACTACCTTGAAATACTATTCCCTATTATTGTTCCCTCACATTCAAGTGTAGCAGAGCCATCACCTTCTTCTATCATTTCTAATGAGTTTAATGAAAACTCAAATCTGCTTGATGTTGAAAAATACATGAAAAACTTAAGCAGTTTAATAATTTTATCATAAATAAGAAATGAAAGACAGTTGCTTTACTTAATGGCAGTGCTGAACACAATTATCAGTAAAGACACAGTAAAGAATATTAATGGAGACCAAATTTAGGCATTAATTACCTTTTAAAAGATTTGTGGTGGACAGAATATTTTATTTTACAAAAACTCTAATTCAAAAAGATATACACACCCCAGTGTTTATAGCAGCACTATTTATAATAGCCAAAACATGGAAGCAACCTAAGTGTCTATCAACAGAATGCATTCCCATGGATAAAGAAGATGTGGTACATATATACAATGGGATATTACTCAGCCATAAAAAAACAAAATAACGCCATTTACAGCAACAAGGATAGACTTAGAAATTATATACTGAGTCACACAGAGAAAGACAAATATCACATGCCATCACTCACATGTGGAATCTAAAAAAAGAAAAACACACAAATGAACTTATTTACAAGACAGAAGTAGACTCACAGACATAGAAAACAAACTTATGGGTTATGAAAGGGGAAAGGGGGGATAAATTAGAAATTTGGGATTAACAGATACCTACTACTGTATATAAAATAGATAAACAAGGACCTACTGTATAGTACAGGGAACTATACTCAATATCTTGTAATAACCTATAATGTAAAAGAATATGAAAAATATAATATTGTTGACTTACACTGTTTCAGGCATACAGTAAAGTGATTCACTTATATTGTATACCTGAAACACTGTGACTCAACCTACTTCAAAACAAATACTACTGTTATTCCAAGGTTATTGCTAGGATTAAATGAAATACAATGAGATAACACATGTAACACACATCAAGTACCAAACACACTGCTGAGCACAGAGTGTATGCTCCAGAAATGCTATATCCTGTAATATGTAGCTCAGATATCTAGAGATAAGTACATTTAGCAAATAAACATCCTTCATCTGCACTAATAATTCTGCTTCTAAATGTAGTCTGTAGATAGTTCTGATCCAGGATTTTGAGGTCAGGTACAATCTTGCCTCCTCAACTCAATTTTAAATGACACACAGTAAGTATCTCATAAGCAAAAAATGTTTTCATTTTTTTATTGTAAGCTTTGTACACAGTTCTGTATATATTTTCTCCCAAAGACTCTAAGATGTTTAAATCTTAAACAGTACTCTTTAGATACAAAGGGTGTGCAGATTATAAAGAATCTATAAAAATCTAAGTTATAAGCAAGGAAGTTCTATTTATATAAGGATTGATCAGCAGAGCTGAAACATCTCTAGGGGAATAGATCTCTATTAACTTGAAATATTTAATGTAGTAAGGGGAGAAAATTAAGTTTTATCTAAACAATCATGTTGAAATATATGATGTCCAAGCCCCTAAAAATCAAACATCTTTTTTTTCTAATTTTTAACTATTACTTTCTACTTAAAGAAATATATGAACATTATATACAGATTAAAAAATTAATAAAGCCATTGGCTATATAATTCTATATTTGGGGAAAATGCTATCAATAGTCACTAACAGCAAAATATTTCAAACTAATGACTAATTTATTAATATAATAGTCATGAACACTTAGATTGGTATATTCTAAAATCATGACTCATACATTTTTTTCATACGGTTTACGGTTTACCTAAATTCTAAACAAAATTAAACTGCTTTCTTAAAAGATCCTAGTAAGAAAACCAGAGCAAATCCATTAGCAATGTTGACTAATACCAAGCTTAGCATCAAACATGGTCATTTTCACTAGTCTGCCAAATAAACAAGCACTGAAATGAAATGTTAAAATTAATATGACTTCCATCCTAAGAATTCCAAAGATTCTGTTTCATATATTTCAAAACCTTAAAATGGAGAAAAATGTATACTGATAGAGCAAAGCTTTAAAAACTGAGCTAATGAGGACAAAAGAAAAAGGAAGAAGTTAATTTTCAGTGTGAGCAAACCTGATTTATCTGAAATTTACATTCTTTCCCCACATTTGTCTATTATAACAAATAAATTTCAGCTGCAGATGGGGAAGAATTGGAAATTTCAAGTCTATTTTCAAAAGAGAATCTCTGCTCAACAAATAATATTGAGGTAACTTTTATTCTAATTATCATAATTATGTTTAAATTTTTTAAAAGCCAATTGTACATCACAGATTTAAACATCAATGTTTAAGCAGTTTTTAACTAAAGTCTTACAAAAATTGATATACGAATACACACATTCTGAAGTGGTAAGAAAGGAGTATTTCTGGAAGATCATAAGTATTCTTATAGAATGCTATTAAGAATTAATTCTTTAAGAAATTTAGAAAAGGATCGAGATATATACAGCAGTCATGAGTCTCTTTTGTTCCAGAATTCTGCTTACAAGAAATTTTTTTGTATTTTCCTAAGCAAAATTCTTCAACTTTTTGTATTAAAATTCAACATGTTAAATATAAGTAGTAAAATGGAAAGACAAGTCTTGTGTTGTACTACATTTTATTATAATTTTAAAGATTTGTTGCTGTTTAGTCGCTCACTTGTGTCTGACTCTTTGCAAACCCATGGACTGCAGCACTCCAGGCTTCCCTGTCCTTCACCATCTCCTGGAGCTTGCTCAAACTCATGTCCATTGAGTTGGTGATGCCATCCAACCATCCTGTCCTCTGTCGTCTCCTTCTCCTCCTGCCTTCAATCTTTCCCAGCATCAGGGTCTTTTCCAATGAGTCAGCTCTTCCCATCAGGTGCCCAAAGTGTTGGAGCTTCAGCTTCAGCATCAGTCCTTCCAATGAATATTCAGGATTGATTTCCTTTAGGACTGACTGGTTTGATTTCCTTCCAGTCCAAGGCACTCTCAAGAGTCTTCTCCAACACCACAGTTCAAAAGCATCAATCCTTCGGCATTCAGTCTTCTTTATGTTCCAACTCTCACATCCATACATGACTACTGGA